AGAATACGTTTAAAATAGTTTTACCGATAGTTAACTTTTTTAATTCTGGGAAATCAAACTCAGAAATTGCAACTTTGTTAGACTTATGGTGGTACAGTGTGAGAAATATTTTTAGAAGATATAACGTAACTGGTTCAGTTAATATTAAGCCACTATATGTGAAAAAAAGTAATATCACAAAAATAATCATGAAAAACAGGCGTGCCAATTATTTACAATTAAGTGCTCTGTGGAGTGACGCTGTTGGAAGGAGAATTTCGAGGTCCACAACTCATAGAGAGGCCCACAAACTGGGATTTAGCACTTGCAAGGTAAGTTTTCTTTTAAAAAAAAGTGAAGTAAAAACCCTAAAGCTGCACAACTTGTTTATAGGCCAAAGAAAAGCCACTATGAACTCCACTGCAAAAGAAAAATCGGCTTAGATGGGCTAACGAACATAGACAATGGACACTTCAACAATGGTGTGCAATAAATACAATGGAGTGATGAGGCCCGATTCGAAGTTTGTGTTGGTGACAGTCGCAGTAGAGTTATTCGCAAAAAAAATGAGGCATTCCATGTTGACTGTCTGAAGAGAAAAGTGAAATTTCCAGCATCCATGATGGTCTGGGGCAGTATGCCATCAAAAGGAGTAGGAAAACTTCATTTTATTGTTGGAAATGTGGATACAAACAAATATTTGGCAATTTTAGAAGAATCGCTTTCACCACTATAAAATGGATGGAAGAAAATAATGTATCACTTTTGAAATGGGTTTCTAGCAGTCCAGATCTGTCACCTATTGAAACTCTGTGGCACGAGATGAAAAAGGTTCTACGACAACATCCTGCTCGTACAATCACCGAACTGAGACAAAAGCTTCAAGAAATATGGGATTGTTTTACACCAAATTTTTGCCAAAACTTGGTTAACACTATGCCCCAAAGAATTTGAGCCGTAATAAAAAATAAAGATGATGTTGCCCATTGGTAATCTTTCAATTGTTGCTTTGTTAACTTCGCGCGTTTATTCGCACATTGCTTATTTGTTCAGATGTCCTATTAGTTATAGGTCTAAGTGATTTCAAATATGTATTTTTTACGACTAGAGTGTATCTAAAATGTTTTTGAGAAAATAAATTGTTTTAGAACTAAATAGTTTCGTCATGTTTAGTTTATAAAGGCATATTTTGGTACAAATCTTGAAGTGGGCCAACTTAAGTGGGAAGGGGCTCGTAGGTATCGGTCATCACCTCTTGTGTGGGGTAAGGAGTTGCGTCATGATATGAACCAATCTTTTTTTGCTTACATACAAATTATCTGCAAATCAAAAACTAATTACTGGTTACTTTCAATGCCCATAAGGAGCTTTTTCCCCCGCGTTTCGTCACATGCACACATGCCAGTAGCCTGCTGGATCTCTTTCTAACCACGCGTCCTGTCCCTCACAGCACTGCTCTCCTGTCTCCCCTAGATAACTCAGACGCCTGTGTTGTGTAGGTTAGGTTTCGGTCAGAACCCGCTGTGGCAGCAGAAACTCGCCCAGGCCGCAAATTTTGCCATTTCGGACATGCCGACCGGCAAGTGCTCAGAGACTTCCCCACCTTTCCCTGGAGAGATGTTTGTCCGCGTCAGCTGTCTGTTCATCGATAACCGAAATTATCCACATTGAGATGGAGGAATACATCCCTCAATACGAGGGTACAACGGCTGATTCAACAAACAGTGCGACACTTCTCGTCAGCAGAAGATTAAGCCACACATGACCTTCTTACAAATCTGCACTGTAGAGAACAGGCGAGCCGACATCGAGTCCAGACACAAATACAACGAAGCGGTCCGCAATGTTAAAGAACAGCAGTAGGGCTGTCCGACTGATCGATGACTCTTCTCTAACAGTCAGTCTCGGGACCCTTTCGCATCGGCGCCTGCGGGCCGTCGGCGATCTAGCTCTCTTCTACCACTAAGCCAACGGGCTTTGCTCCTCAGAGCCTTCCATCCTAACCGCGTCAAACTTCTTACATCCAGAACTGGCCATTATAACCTCTCCTTTGTCCCGAGGGTGTCGATATAGTGAAACAATCTACAAGAGGAAGCTTTTCCCAGTTTTACTAACCTTAGACAGTCCAAAAATCGGATAAACAAAATTTCTGTGGGATCCTCATAAGCAGCCGCGATGTCCAAGCATTTAGGCTTCTGCCTGCGCGGCTGATTCGATGTAAAAAAAATTGTGATACTCTTTACCAGCGCTATAGCGATATGCCTTTTTTGAATCAAACAGAACTGGGATGATATTATCGGTATTTAGTCTACTCCTTACAGTAGTTTTCGTAAGGTTTACATATGTATAGTATAGTAATAATATGCAGTATTTTTGTGGTTTATTGCGTTACTTCACAAAAGACAAATCACTTTTGAAATATAGGAGGTAGTTAAATTTTTTGGGGAGATTTTGTATTGTAGATAGGTACATCAGGACTAATATCGGTAGAGCTTGGCAGTTTTGGTAAAACTGATCAACAGCCAAAAAATATCCTAAATAAAATCAACAAAATATTACTATTTTTAATGTGCTAAAACCGGAATGAAACTTATTTTTTCAATATTAGTTCAAGTTTTAGAGATACGGTAATTATATGTGTTCCTGCTGTGACAGTGTTAATATACTGTAATTCACAAGAATGCACGTGCTACATTTTTATATTCGGCAAGGAAAGATGATGTAATCGGCATGATTGTGTTACGTTATACATACGTGTACATTATATTGTTTTATATTAGCCATTTTTTCCTCAGTTGGCTGACAGCGTTCATGCAAGATGTCTCGAAAGTGTGTAAACAATCCAGATCAGTTTTGTTACGTGTATGGTGATGTGACTTTTGCGTCTCAGAGACGGTCTATTACTCCACTAATAACAAAGGCATATCAGCTTTATTTCGGTTGTAAACTAGGTGATCAAGACAAACAGTGGGCACCGCACATCTGCTGTAATACATGTGCTTCAAGTCTGAGGAGCTGGTTAAATGGCAAAAAACGGTCTATGCGCTTTGCTGTCCCAATGGTTTGGAGAGAGCTTACAAATAATATTAATGATTGTCACTTTTGCATGGTACCTTGTGTTGGACAAGCCACAGGTATGTCCAAGAAAAAAAAATCGGTTATTAACTACCCAAACATACCATCTGCGATGAGACCTGTGCCTCACAGTGACGAACATCCTATTCCAAAACCCCCAGAATCCTAATTAAATGATCTTGTAAGAGATTTAGAACTTCCAAAATGTAAGGCAGAGTTACTTGGATCAAGACTGCAGCAGTGGAACTTGTTAGAAGACGTTGTTTCGGTATGTGTTTTTCGTAAACGCCACAAAGACTTAGAACTATTTTTCAATATGGAGAATAACTTGGTTTTCTGCAGTAACATTAACGGCTTACTGGCGGCTTTAAATATAAACTATAACCCAGAAGAATGGAGATTGTTTATAGACAGTTCAACATTGAGTTTAAAGGCAGTGTTATTGCATATTGGAAATATTTTACCATCTCTTCCTGTAGGGTATGCAGTTCACATGAAAGAATCATATGACAATATGAAGTACCTATTGACATGCATAAAATACGATGAGCACCTATGGCATATTTGTGGCGATTTGAAAGTTGTTGCACTTTTACTTGGGCTGCATCTAGGCTACACAAAGTTTTGCTGTTTTTTGTCTGAATGGGACAGTCGGGCAAAGGCACTTCATTACACCAGACAAAACTGGCCTGTTCGTCAATTCCTAGAGCCAGGTCAAAAAAATGTACAGCATATGCCATTAGTAGATTCGGAAAAAATTTTATTACCACCACTGCATATCAAGTTGGGCCTAATGAAAAACTTTGTCAAGGCATTAGATAGAGATGGGTCAGCTTTTCAATACCTGCGTCAGAAATTTCCAAGACTAAGTGAGGCAAAGGTTAAAGAAGGTATTTTTGTTGGGCCACAGATTCGAAATATTTTGAAAGATACACAGTTTGAAAACACTTTAACAGGTATTGAAAAAACTGCTTGGAATGATTTCCGTCTGGTGGTTACTAATTTCTTGGGAAATAGAAAAGCTGACAACTATAAAACCCTTGTCATCGTATCAAAAGATGGGCTGTAATATGTCTCTAAGATACATTTCCTACACTCACACCTGGACTTTTTTCCTAACAATTGCGGAGCCGTAAGTGCTGAGCACGGCGAACGTTTTTATCAGGATATTTCAACAGTGGAAAAAAGGTACCAGGGAAAGTGGAATCCTTCCATGCTTGCAGACTACTGTTGGACTCTTGGTAGAGATGCTCCAGAAACGATCCATAAAAGAACAGCAAAAAGACAGCGCATATAGTGATTCTTATAAGTATATGAATCTTGTTACTTTTTTTAATATATCCTTAAAAGTAAAAAGTTTTTTTTCTAAACCGCAACTAATTTTTTTATTTCATTGTCATTTTTGGATTCAGCGCCCCAAAATTAACAAAGAAGTGCACTTTTCCCACAAGATACAATTAAAAAACTAAAATTTGTTGTCCAGTGTTATTGTTCACAAAAGTTGAAATAAATGCCATAGATATTTTGTTATAACAGGACGGTACCAACCTACCACATAGTCAAAGTAACTGGACTATTTTCTTTGAGAAGCCGTTGAGCATAAATGTTATCTTAACCATCCAAAGACAATTGAAGCCATGACATACAAAATCGAAGTTGCCCTTCAAAAAATTCGAGCGTAAACTATCAAAAAAGTACTTGAAAATTGAGTTAAGCGTATGATATGTTGCTGCCACTTATATAATATTGAATTTCATTCTTAAAGGTCAAGGTTCAACTTTTCTATTAATTTCTTTTTGTATAGCCGATCGAAATTTCAAATTTCAAAAGACCCACCCTATACCTTTAGCTCTAGAAATATTGATACTTTTATTGAGTCACCATTCATAAAAATCGGCTACAGCTAGAATTCTACATTTTGCTCAATCTTCATGTCTTTGTTCCAGATAAAGTCAAGAAAAAATACTCCAACCTGGGCCACACGGTGTTGATGGTACAACTTGAGCGTGGCGGGTCAGGCTTAGGTTTGAGCCTGGCCGGTCACAAGGACAGGAACTGCATGGCCGTTTTTGTTTGTGGACTCAACCCTAAAGGGGCAGCATACAAAGCGGGCTCCATTCAAGTGGGGGATGAAATATTAGAGGTAGGTATCATATGTTTTACCAAGAGATTACGATGATGAATCAAGTTACCTTTCAAACAAAAGATTTTTTTTTAAATATCGATGATACTCGAATTAATTTTTTCTTAATAGCTCATGCTATTTTTGTGATGTCGACATAAAAATCGGGAACCGGTTATTTTCTATTTTTCAATAACTTATGTAGAAGGCTCTAGTTACAGCCTATAATCTAGCAGTTTCATGACAACTTTTTACAGTAACGTATTCAAAGGCCCCCGTAAGTCTGAACAAATTGTGAAAGCGTTATTTATTCATCCTATAATTTGCACAGTAGGTAGTTCGCATGTTTCGCTTTCAATATTTTAACCATAATAAAATATTTGCTAGGGCTCCAAATATATGATTCTAGGCACAAAACATTAATTTCAAGTGCGGACCCAGATACACTGTGTAATTTTTACCTTTTCTTCTTGCCCTGCGATTAAATATCGATATGTGTGGCACATTTAATATATGATTTTTCCAAACTCGTAGATGGTAGCCTCAAACATTTCAAAGTCTATTTTTAAAGATTCAATAGTCATTTTGTATTGTATGGAGATATATGCAGAAATGTATATTTTGTGATGCAAATGTTACTTTGCCTTTTGAGAACAGGAAAATAAGTAAAGCGATTTTCCTAGTGAGATATATTTTAATTTTTTATCAATTATTCCAATATTTTTGAACCACGTCGCTTCAAACATACTGAAAAATACACGAAAGTATGTTTCCCACCTTCATAATAAAATTTTACGTATCGATATTTTCTTTGGAAAAGCATGATTTTGCTATTTCCAAGCTCTTTAAGGGAAAACAAATGTTTATGAACCATTTTGCGGATTCCTATGTAAATTCTCTTAGAAAAGCTCGGTTTTATGGGCAAAATGATATCCATTTTAATGATTTTTCAGACTTACCATTCCGAAATTTGAAACGCAAAGCTCGTGAAAATCAAACTAATATCACAGAAAGAAAGGACAGTTTAAAAAGATTCACCTGCGTTAGGTGCGCTTTCTCTTGTGAGGTATATGTTACTATATAGTTAGGAAGCCTTGGAAGTACGAGTTATAATTATTTTCAAAATAACTAAAGAAGCAAATAACGTGTTCTAGCTGCTCATGAGAACTATATCTTTTGATCTGAAGAAAAGATATTATAATTGAAATACAAATACAAAATTTAGTGGTAGGGTGGGAGGATACATGTTTTTCACTTTACAATAACTCCAGCTCATCTGCAGAAAATTCTCTTTCACGAATATTATGCGAGATTCAATTGCCAAATTGTCAAAGAAAAAGAGACAGGGAAACAGAAGAGAAAAGAAAAAAAGCAAAGAAAAGCAGAAGTGTATCAGTTTAAGACGAAACACCTAGGCTGTTTGACTTGGTAAACGGATTAATTTTCAGGTGAATTAAGGCGGCTCCGACGCAGTGAGTTTCAAGCCATTTACAAGGGTTCAGCTGCTTCGAAACTGACACTCCATTTTTCAATATTTTTGATTGAAATTCATACAGTATGTTCATAAAATAATTGCCCAGGGTGCTATACTTTTTGAAATTTTGTTTATGCACAAGTTTTATGATGGGTTGAAGTGCGCACTTTTTCTATTCAACTTCGCGATTTTTTTAAAACGAATCTAGTGAAAAAATGAAAAAGTGGCTCTATAGCACTCTGTGGAGTTTTGTTTTCAGCACACTATGAAAATTTCATTCAAAAATATCAAAAAATAAGGCGTCAATTTTGAAGCGCGCAAACCTCTACAAATCGTATTTTGGACGATTTTTGTCTAGTGTTTCGTGCTGCCAACCCAAGCGTTCCGGCGCAATGTACGGACTAAGAAAGGACGTATTCAGATAATTTGGTGGCCCTATTTCATAAATAGGTATTCATAATCGCGATCGCTGATACTCCTCGATTTTAAAGCCGCTTTACTTCCCGTGCCAGTGGCGAGGAAGTATTGTAATCGCGAAAAATTTCTAAAATGAGATGCTATGTTTTTTTAAGTCATATGACATCTACATCACGAAAAACTATATCACTCATCATCAACTTTGAAATTACTGCTCGGATTTTTATAAAATTTCCACACTAGTATGCCAAAGCTTTCTGGTTTTACTTGAATGGCAAGGGTGCTATAGGCAAAAAAGAAAAAGTGACAATTGGTGAAACTCCGTTTTTGACGTTACAGGGGTTTCTTATCATTGACATAAAAAGAATGTACTGCTTAAAAAGTGAGGGTTGGGGGCAGGTGATTCTAAATGTTGCATCTTTGATATCAGTGAAACACGTTCTATTATTAAGAAGCTTTTGGTCAGAGTGATTACAGGAAATTTAAGTAACGAAAATCCGAAGACAGTAGGGAAGAATGAATTCGGATATCATTACAGTCAAGTATGTATAGGGGAATTTAGCGTGAAACTTTAAAATTATCGATATGTCAAGGAAATATGTTTTTGAGAACGATAATTTGGTAGATTTTATACCTGCATTTTCATTTGAATTTCATGACCCGTGAAATGTATCCATTTCGCCGTCACCTTCAACTTGTGTTCTGCAGTTTGTGATGTTTTTCTGGAAATAAGCAGGACATAATTGCCCAAGGTGCTATCAGAGCTTTTTACAAAATTTTGAGTTTGTGCAAGAATTATGGTGGGTTGAAATGCTTACTATTTGTGCTCATCTTCCTGATATTTTAAAAAGATCCTAGTGGATAAAATCGAAAAAGTGGATCGTTAGCACCCTGTGGACTTTGTTTTTAGCACGCTGCAAGAGTTTAATTTGGAAATAATCAAAAATTAAATGTAAGCTGTGAAGTGCAAATCGGTTTTTGGGCGAAATTCGTCTACTGTTTCGTCCTGCCAGTCCAAGCGACGCGACGGTGCGTTCCGACTAAGAAAAAATGTATTCAAATAATTTGATATCTTTATAAAATAAATTCAAGAACTCAAATTCAAATTCGTTTATTCGTGTCAATAAACACAATTATGTTTACAAGGGCCAGGTGGTACGTGGTAACAATTGCACGAGGGTCATAAAATTATATTATGCCGTCAAAATAAGAGAAAACAGTTAGGTAGTTTTTGCAAAGCAATAAACAGGTAGGCCTATACCTGTATTAAGTACATTTCTTGTCTACTGTAATAGGTAGATGGAGGCGATGCTGCCAGAAATGGATTTGTGAGATCAATTAACAATCCACAAGATTGAACTGCCGTGTCCAATGATTTTTGAATTGCCTTCTTTATTGCCTTACTAGAAAACTCTGTTGGGTATATGATGGACTTTACTAGAACTTTACAGCTTGTTGTCTGCCTTCTTCTACAAATCGAGACGCTGTCAACCTTATCCTCCGATGAAGGCGCCACAAAATACAGTCAGTGATTTGGTGACTTGTTCGATCTGCAAAATCTCGTCTTCACTTTTTTTAAGTTTCCCTAAAAATTCTTGCTTAGCAACCTCCAAATCAATGTCGTTCATGACAGGTCTTTGACAAAATTCGCCATTAGACTACTCATTTTCTTTAAACTCACTGCATTCGTAATTAAAATGGTCGCATATGACCTTTTATTGTCCATTATCAACCTTGATAAAAAAAGGCACTCAAGAACAATCACACCAACAAGAGTACAGCACAACAATTCAAAAACACAATATCGACGAACAGTTACAAGGGGAGAAAAATACTAAATTATCACTCAGTACCAAAATAGGAAACGATTTACAGACTAGATCGCTAATCGAAATCCGACTCTGTTATTATAAAAATTTACCTTGGTATGCACCCGCAGTCATCCTTTCCTCTTTTAAAGTAGCGCCGACAACCGTCTAGGGCCAGCCCACCGTCGTTTCCTTTTCACCCCCCCCCCCCCCCCAATTACCTCAGCAGATGGTCCTCGTGATTGTAGGAGCCTCGTTAAGAACAAATTTTGATTCAGGTTTCCTTAGAGTGTAATTTTGAGTTCACCTAAAGTTCGCGCTATTTTTCGATCACAGTCAGAGCCGAGTCCTTGAACGTTTACGAACTTGCTCCACTGTGTAGTCCACTGAGTCACGCAACAGAGGGTTACTGTGCGATTCCGCTTGACTATAACGTCGCTGCACCGGAAGCTTGACATAAGCCCTCAAGTAAGGAATGTCAAGGTCTCTGTGAAGTGCAGTGTAGCTAACAATCTGTGGGGTAGTGTCTCGTTTGACAAATGGTTGGTAGAGTCCTGCTTTGCAGTACATGAACACTATGCATGTGTGCCTTTACAATAAAACACCAAGCCACACATGCATAAGTAATTACTGGTCTAATAATCATTTCATATAGTCGAACTTTGTTTATCAAACTCAATTTGGAGGATCTACATAACAAAGGTTATAGTTGCCGAAACGCAATTTAGAATTTTGTTTTCAACGATGCTGTATGTTTCTGCCAGGTCATGCCTTTATCAAGGGTGACACCGAGATACTTGGCAGAATTTTCCCATTGTACGAGTATACGATTTCCGTCTACCGAAATCTCAGCTGGGTGGGCGCGACGTTTTTTTTTTTGGTACAATAAATTGCCTGCAAATATAATGAAAATATTAAAATGTCCATTTACGAGACGTGGAACAAGCCTTATTATGGTGGTTCCACAGGGATCGGTTTTGGGACCACATTCAAATTTAATAATCGAGCCCTACACCAAATTTAGGGGTAGAATGAGTAAATATTAGCGATGTTGAATTGTTTGTATAATTATTTAAAAGTGCTTTCCCCCTGAAATATCGCCGCTCTTTTTTTAATCACCCTGTACTTTCGATTTTAGGTGAACGGTGTAGTTTTGCATGGAAGATGCCATCTAAATGCTTCAGCGATCATCAAAGGATTGTCAGGGCCAGTATTCAAGGTCATTATTTTAAGGTAAGCAAAATACTTGTTTCCGGACGAAAGCTTAGGCTTCAGCCACCGAATCCCTCTGACCTTCTGCTGCACCATAAATTGACTAGTCGATCTTAAGAGTGTTTCGTACCTCGCCTACCGTTTAGTTTCTTGATTTTCCAACAAAATTTCTATTATTCCTGGGTTATCATAGCTATTTATAGATCCATTACTTAAGTATGTCATATACGCCTTAAGGTAGGCAACCAGTAATGTTACTTATTTTAAGAACGATTATTGAACATCGTTGCCAAATATGCTACGATTGTTCTGAATATATGAAATAGCTCAGTCATTTTGGAAATTGATATGATTTAAGCATTATTTCTAAATCGACATATTGTGCTTTTTGGATGATGCATGTCACTTATTTCCATCGATCCGTCTATGGCCTGTTCGGGAATCCTTCCTCTATAGCTAAGCTCGGACTTTGATGAAATTCAGAAACAGGTCACTAACGTGTCAAGGACAAAAAAGCTTTGCCGGTCTTAAATAATTATAAAAAACAAATATTCCTTGGCCCCTCCATAGCTCGCAGTGTAACGCAAGATTAATACTATATAGTTTAGGGAAATGACTTGTGAGTTTCAAAGATCGGTGCAGAAACGTCCCAGTTTTGAGCGAAAATGGAAAACTTGACAACGTGTTCAAACCAAATTAATTCAATGTTTTATGACAATTTTTGGGTTGAAGGCCTTTTCGCATACTAAAAAAATGTTGGCTGCTCAAAGTTTTTGAAGTTAAGTATATTCACATATTTGATAAACATTCTTATCACTAATGAGGCTTACATTTTTTCCGTAGCAATTTAAAACATTTATTATTTGTGTGTACGTGCGTGGAGAGTATTACTGAGTCAGTTCTCTTGACCCCACTTTATTACGTGCGTAGAAATACACAAAGCTAATCGATTGCTGGCTCTGTTACCATAGGATGTTTGAAAAAAGTTATTCACAAAAATTATAAGCAAATATACGTTCCTCACTTGGAAAACATGGCGCTCTCTACACGGTGATTCATAAGTACGTGGCAACAGAAGCATACATTTTGTAAATGTGTAATTCAGTATATTCTGGAAGGCCTCTTCAAATGAAGATCTAGCATAGTACAAGGTTTGCATCACTACTTCTGGAGTTGCGGGATATTTTGTCTGAAAAAGTGTCTCTCAACGTTGATTGTTTGTAAATCAGTCAATTTTGCAGACAGAATACTAAAGTTTCCGTCAGGATGAGTTTCAAATCTCATAGTTTCTCGTCATTAGAACGTTTTTTAAAATTTGTCATCTATACAGGGTGCTTGTACACGCAAGTCTCAAAAAATCAAATTAAACACCCTATATATTTTTACGGTTTTGGGTTATCGTTTTTATTTTGAATTGATTTTTTTAGCTGGGAGGTTAAAGCACTAAATGTTTGAGTTAGTTAGTTTTCCAGAAATTACAATTCAAAATAAATTTTTACTGAATGGATACAAGCCTTCATTACCATTCACCGATTACAAAACTTAAAAACCCACCCTACATGTGTCAGTCGGCTTGTTTCGAATTGTGTGCCGTTCTATTGGGTTATTTTCTGTCTGTTTCTCGATCTGTACGTTTTTAATAATAAAGTATAGAAAAAAATACCTTTTTGTCGTCCAGTCTACATTTCTGGTATCTCCAGGACTTTGAGACCGCACAGTCTGGCAATGCGGTTAAGATATCCAATGTTATCTACAATCCAGTTTGCTGTACAAGCATATACATATATACATTGAAGTTGTTTAGTTTTCGGTTTTATACGCTCTGCATATGATTTTGCGAATATAATTTTAACTCGACGCATTCTTTCGGTACTGTACAAAGTAAAGGTGTTTATGCTTTTACAAATCGCATATCGATGTTGAAATGTTGTGAGCACCGTGTTTTGGAAAACCTTCTTAAATGTTGCAGTTATCTAGTATAAAGAAAAAGCTGCCGAAAGTTAGAAAATTGTCCAGTATAGTGGATCTCCGCAGGTCATTCAGGTTAGATTTTTGTTATTTTCTATACCAATTTGCACCTGTGGAGAATGTGAGCACATATTCATATTGCTCCAGTAGAGACATCTCAATAAACCCTGTATAATCAATATATTCTTGATTATCTCTTATATTTTAGGGTTACCATAGTACACACTATTTTCAATCGAGACATTATCCAGATTTCCTTGTACACAAAAGTGTAAAAAATTTGAGTGGGTAGTATTTTATTCTATTTCATTAAAACTATTTTTATATAAACTACTGCGAAATTCCATTACATATAAATGTGTCTTAAATTGTACAAATTTGTTTGTTCAAGGATACTAGAATTCCAGAATGCTTCCTTAAGGCTGGTCAGTAATAGTAAATAAAAGCTCTACCAAGAGTATCGATCAAAGTGCCGGTTCACGTGGCAACGTGTGAGCAAAATTTGTAGAAATTCAGTTTCCTTAATAATTATTCCCTAATTTCACCGGCCTACTGATTTTTTTTTGCAGCTCCCTGTTGATTTAGTAATGTCATCACCCCCTGTTTGCCGATAAATATTGAACAATCCAAAAACCAACATATATTAGTCCAAGAAAACTTGCACAAAGAAGGATTCATAGATCAAATCGCCATGTTCGTTATCCGTTATTTAAATAAGAAAGCAGATAATGAGAAGGTTACCGAGAATAGGGGAGAGTTTTTTCTCAAAATAAAGTTATAAAAACATATTGATTGAAATATAATAGAAATATGAGTTTAAGGCTCGTATCGTCAGTCCTTACAATTGTAGGGCGCGTTTATGGCCTCCTTGATTGTCATACTTCTTTCTCTACTTCAAAAATTTCGAGACTACACTTGTCCCGTGTCAGCGTCAGCGCTCTCCTATTGTGAAGATATGTTTTCTGTTTAAATTGTAGGAAATTTCAGGCTGATAAAACATGATATAACTCAAAAGCAAGCACAATTTGATGCAAATAGATGTTTATGACATAACCTCAAAATAGAGTTCTAACACGGAGAAGTAGAAAACTATGACAATCAAGGAGACCATAAAGGCGCCCTACAATAATTGTAGGGACGACTGACGATACGGGCCTTAGATAACAGATAAAATTCACTGCGAGACATAGGCAGTGTTCTAAACGAATTGAATTATTCTTTTTTTTTGTTATATCTTGTCTTTTCACGAATATCCATTACGGTAGGATAACAGCTGATTATCTAGTAATATTCCAAAATTCCTTATATCCACAAGTGACACACAATTCTGAGAGATCCGCCTATGGATTCGTCAATGCCAGGTAGATAGCCGTATTTTTTGTAGTTTTTTGTATACTATGGATTCATTTTGTACTTGCTGACTACTATTTTATTTAGAAAAGTGCCTTCGCATACAACAAATGAATATAGTCCTGAGTTTTACCAGATTTACACCCGACTGGTTATAGCCAAAGTTACAGTCTAATACAAATATGTCACCTACTGATCAGTTGTTCACCTCAGTAGACGTCAAAAGGTAATTGATTCTCGTGAAATAGGATAGGTATATATACAGCTAGGTGCAGATCTGAGTCAATGTATCGCTATTGTTTGATTATTTAAAAAAAAATCCTTGTTTAATAAAAATGTTCTAAAAATGCTATGATGTTACGCAGAAATCCACTGACAATACTGATCGTGTTGTTTTACCGTTTCCGAGATCCCAAAACCGAGGTTCGAATTTGAAACACACGTAACATTATAGTGCTTTTAGCCATACTAAGTTTGTATCTAATATATTTTAACTGATCCTAGTATGAATGAATAATTTAATTTTTGTAAAAAAATTTAATTAATAACTAGGGAAAAGGCGAGGCAGCTGTCCCCCTTGCCTCCCCTGGATACGCTCTTGCATCTTTGGACTATTTTGCAATGTATTTCGAATATGATCATTCAAAGATTTTCACAAAATTCTAAAATTAGGTTACTACTGTAGGACAAGCACGAAAAACTTAAAACTATCGCCAAAAAATGAAAATTGGGCTATTAGACATCATCTGTATTCAGTTTAATTTTCCAGCGATGACCTTCGTCGTAAGAATGTTGCCAATGTAAACAGTTTCAAAATTTATAACCCAGTGAAAGGTCCATGATAGAAAAGTCGTCGAGTATTTAGATTTACGAGTAAATTCTGAATATTATGCATTTATGCTCAAGGATGACTCGATCTTAGTAGTAATAGAGAAAGCGTTTTCTCAACAATTTTTTGTTTTGTTTCAGACGAAAAGCTGCCATCGAAGACATCGCGGTAAAGCCTATCACACATTTTCCCATTTCGCTATCAGATGAGGTAAGATACCTTAACGAATATCTACATTATTATAAATTATGTATATACAGGTGAAGTTGAGTCATTAATTTTCAGATAATGATTGTAGAAGGAAGATAAAAAAAAATTAAAGAAATTTTTTTACCTTGTTTTATAAAGTATCCTCCCGACAAGTATTTCAGTGTGGACCTGTATTTGATCGTGAGGTCTTGGAGCACCGGCATGCAGTCCCCTGTGTGGTCTTAAGTCACCTGATTCACGAGCCCGTTCTACTACATTAACAAAGGCACGAGGGGTTGGTTGCACTCGATTGGGAAACCGATCCGCATAAACATGTGCCATTTTTTATTTCGTTTGAGCCACGCAACAGACACCACTATTCAAACGCGTTACCGACTGACACTGACTGTATACAACTGACTAAAATAATTGTAAAAACATCGTTCCAAATTCTTTCGCTTTTTTGTTTCCGATGCGATGAACCAAACACGAGCACATAATATTATTATTGAGACAGGGCGGTACTCAAACTTCCAAAGGGCTATAACTTTGTTACTTTAATTTTACCAGAAAAATGGTAAAGGAAAAAAACGTTTCTTTTGATCAGATCTACTCACTGTTAAAATAAATGACTCAACTTCGAAGTCACCCTGTATAGACTACGTTGGTGGAACACCCACATCTACATTTAAATTGAATCGATCATGCAGAAACCTCGTAGGTCACCAAATTTGAATTTTTCATCAATAAAAAATGTGTCATTGACAAATAAACCAGTTTGGAACTTCTTTTTTGGGGTAATATACGATCCTCTTCCCACTTCAGTTGGCCCACTTCAAGATTTGTACCAAAATATGCCTTTATGACGATGCTATTTACTTCTAAAACAATTTATTTTCTCAAAAACATTTTAGATACACTCTAGTCGTAGAAAATACATATTTGAAATTACTTAGACCTATAACTAATAGAACATCTGAACAAATAAACAATGGGCGAATAAATGCGCGAAGTTAACAAAGCAACAATTGAAAGATTACCATTGGGTAACATCACCTTTATTTTTTATTATGGCTGAAATTCTTTGGGGCATAGTGTTAACCAAGTTTTGGCAAAAATTTGGTGTAAAACAGTCCCATATTTCTTGAAGCTTTTGTCTCAGTTCGGTGATTGTACGAGCAGGATGTTTTCGTAAAACCTTTTTCATCTCGTGCCACAAACTTTCAATAGGTGACAAATCTGGACTGCTAGAAACCCATTTCAAAAGTGGTACATCATTTTCTTCCATCGATTTTATAGCCTTTTTTGAGGTATGGCACGCTGCACCATCTTGCTGAAACACAAAATCTTGGCCGGATGTCAAACATTCATCCATCACTGGTAAAAGCGATTCTTCTAAAATTGCCAAATATGTATTTGTATCCACATTTCCATCAATAAAATGAAGTTTTCCTACTCCTTTTGATGACATACTGCCCCAGACCATAATGAATGCTGGAAATTTCGTTTTTCTCTTCAGACAGTCAACATGGAATACTTAATTTTTTTGCGAATAACTCTACTGCGACTGTCACCAACACAAACTTCGAATCGGGCCTCATCACTCCATTGTATTGCACACGACTGTTGAGGTGTCCATTGTCTATGTTCTTTAGCCCATCTAAGCTGATTTTTCTTTTGCAGTGGAGTTAATAGTGGCTTTTCTTTGGCCTATAAACAAGTTGTGCAACTTTACGGTTTTTACTTCACTTTTTTTTTATAAGAAAACTTACCTTGCAAGTGCTAAATCCCAATTTGTGGGCCTCTCTATGAGTTGTGGACGTCGAAATTCTCCTTTCAACAGCGTCACTCCACAGAGCACTTAATTGGCACGCCTGTTTTTCACGATTATTCTTCTTAATGCTCTTCGGTCGGCATTTGTGATATTACTTTTTTTCAAATATCGTGGCTTAATATTACTGAAGCAGTTACGTTATATATTCTAACAATATTTCTCACACTGTACCGTGATAAGTCTAACAAAGTAGCAATTTCTGAGTTTGATTTCCCAGAATTAAAAAATTTAATTATCAGTAACCGAATTTTGAAAACCTTAACTACCCAAAACTATTTTAAACGTATTCTGACAGCTGTGAGTAATAAAAACAATTGTCATGGCTTTTATTTTTCACAGCCACCTATGCGTTATAGACTTATTTTGCATTGAAATGAAAATAGGTTGATATGCTGTAATTGCAACATGTGTTATTTTTATGCTGCAAATTTGATTAGGGAGTGATAAAGTTGATATTTTCTACTATATATTATCAAAATAATAATTGTTAATATTTTAAACCTATAACACCCCGCTACATTTTTATTATTTGTGTTTGATAAGAAAAAACTAAGATTTCAACAGTTGGGCCAACTGAAGTAGGAAGGGGCTCGTAGTATTTGAGTTCTAAAGGACTGAAATTTTGAGTAACCTTCATAGTTTTAGCTCGGAAAACTGTTATGAACGCGTTGTTTTAGCAGCAAATAGGGTTACTGGTATATAACTTGAGCGAAGACCATCAATCATATTTTTCATTGCTTATTCTTGAAAACTACACTTAAATTTTGATATTTTTACAGTGCATAGGTGAAACCTGGGCAAACATCTTGGAAAAAATAATTCCTAGTGAAAAGTAGAGATTCTTGTTCAACTTTCTTGAATAACCAGCAATGGGTTCTTATTTGACCACCTGGTTTCAAAATGTTTTTTTTTCTTTCAACAAAAAATTCACATTGCCAGATACGAGTAGATGTGCGCGCAATTCCATCTTGATGATCTTTTATATGGCCAATCCGTTTTTTTTTGTGGAGGATGATTTTTTAAGTTTAGGTAAAAACATATTCTGCCAAGGAACATACTTTTTGTGACTGCAATTTTAGTCAATTTGTCCAACATCAGTTTGGTTGAATAGCAAAAAGGAGGCATTATAACGTTCTAAATGCTTTTAAATTGAATAATAGCAAGGAATACCACTAAGTACCAGCGAAAAATTGCGGCATCCCGTGTATTGTCACGCATAGGCTTGCCAAAAATCTTTTTGCAAAGGTATAGCTTCTGCGACTATGTAAGCCCAGGGTACCATACATCACTGGGTGTCTATCAAGCAACCCAGGGGCGTTTCTAAAAAATATTTTTAGGGGGTATACAGGGTGACTCACAAGTCGTGACCAAAAATTAAACGTCATACACAGGACCACATTTTAAAGGGGTCTTTTACGTAACATTTTTTCCTCTAGGGCTTCATAGAAAAGATACGGGGTGTTGAATTTTAAAAATAAAAACATTTTTCATCAAATTCAAGCCCCAAAAAATTTTGCGTAAAAACGTTTTTCTTTATTAAAAATATGCCGTACTTGGGTCCGTCACAGTGGGGGTCTTTTTGAACATTTACTGGAATAAAGTGTTGATTATCTAATTTGTTTTATTTTTATTTTTACGAAAACAGTGCATTCTAGGAAAAAAACACAAGGGTAATTATGTATTTATAGGATATTGAAGGTAAAATTCTAAAAACTGCGCATTTCGACAAAAAAAAAAGGGCCTTCTATTTTTATTTGGAAAAATAATACCACTAATCCACTGGTGCACGTTAATTTTAAGTAAAGACGTTTGAATGTGGACAATACTTACTATAGGTAAATTGACATACCAAATTTTAGTTCATTCCAGTTGATGGTTTGCAAGATATTAAAAAAAATATTTTTAATTTTTAAACTTCAACACCCCACCCCGTATCTTTTTAATCAAGCCCTCGAGGAAAAAATGTTACATAGAAGACCCCCCCTTGAAATGCGGTCCTGTGTATGATGTCTCACTTTTGGTCACGACTTGTGAATCAACCTGTATATGATGATTTTGAAATTACCCACTCAAAAAAGTATTTAGGGGGAGGTGGTGGGCGCTTAGAATTAATGTTCAGAGCGGGAGGGGCTCGTCAAAAACACATTCGAATTTTTTTGTGAAATGAGGATCACTAACAGCTCCGAAACCAAAGAACTTACTTATTGTAGACCTGCAAAAATTTCTTAAAAATCACCAGAGAATATGAAGTTTTAGGCGAATGCACACGATCAGTATTTACTGTAGTCCGCATTCTGATCACTGCGTCAGTGTCAATAATTTTCTACGTATCCCTATACATCTGGCTACACAGTCAATAAACATTACATATTTACTATTTATTAATAATTGAATAAAATTTTTTTAAATAAAATTAAGCCTTCGGGATCTTGTAGGGGACGGTTTCCACTTCAATTTAGTTACTTGGAAACCTCAAGAATGATAATTGTTAAACGAGCTTTCAAGTATCGAAAATGGCCATTTTTGGGTTCTTGACTTTGAAGCGCTTATATTCGAAAGTTGTCACTTTTTGTTAGGAACGATGAAAAAACCTAAAACCAAACTATGTCCTGAGCAAAAAAGATAAACATTTTTTTGTAATGAGTTAAAAAGTGTTCTGTGATAAAACTCTAATTGTACTGGATTATACGACAATTTGCCCATGAATACAAATAGATTGAAACCATATCATCACTCCCTTTGATGTGGCTTTTTGTCATATTACATTGGATAAAAAAGGCATCAAACTGCAGTATTTTTTACTTTAATCTCATTTCTAGGCCACGGAAGAGCAGTATGCATCGAGCTATCCAAACGTTAGGACCGTTAGTGTTAAAAAGGTATTTATGATTTTTCCTATAGACGATTACTGAAATTACACATTGTTAAGAAATGTATATTTAATATTTGCATTGATGGTTATTTAATGTTTGTGGTAACGTACATATTTATTATTGCAGGGTACTCAAAGCTTGGGGATCATGATAATAGAAGGGCGCCATGCTGAAGTAGGGCAAGGCATCTTCATATCGGACATCCAAGAGGACTCTGCTGCTGAAAAGGTAACTTTGGAGATTTGCTACATGTTCATTGATTAAAAAGTTCTTTTTAACTAAAGATACGCCTCCACAGAACCGCATTGGACTATTCGCACTAAACGGATTTCAGAATTCTTAGTACGTTTTCAAATACAAATGCGTCCACTGTTCCGCATTGGATAGGCGGTACGTCAAATTTCCGAAAGGCGCAATTATTTCCATCTGTGCCGATGACGTCATACAAATTGATAATCGGGGGACGTGTCACCACCGACGCCACCGACTGAGCTGATTATGGATGGATATAACTAAGTAAATACGTTGCTGAAAATATACAGGGTGTCCGCAAAGTTGGGGTTTTCCTTTACACGACGTGTAGATCTTGAAAACATAAGCAATTTTTCTTAGTACCATATACACCAAAGTCTTAAGGGAACCGAGATAAAGGGCTCTGCAACATCAAAAATATCTGAATACCGTCCTGTAGCCGCGACATCCCCGAGTGGTACTAGGACACTAGCTCAACCCGACGACAGAACTGGGTCGGGGTCAGTGTGTCAGGTCAGTATGCAACCTTCAACCGATGGTTACGGTCACGCGTGTAGAGGTAATCGCTTAGACGAGAATTTCTCAACAAGCACTAGAGACGTGGCTAGAGAAGTGCAAGTATCAAAAACTAAAGTGTGGCAAGCGCTGCGTGAAGAAGGGCTGTATCCGTTTCACGTCCAACGTGTACAAGCCCTTCAACCTGACGATTTTCCAGCAAGAGTGCGGTTCTATGAGTGGTTGTTGCATCAACATGACAATAATCCGGACTTTTTGAAGTGCTTATTAGTGACAGACGAATCTACGTTCACGCACGCGTAATGGGGTGAATAACTTTCGCAACCCTCATGTTTGGTCAGTAGAAAATCCGCACGCTGTCCGTCTGGCACATTTTCAACAAACATTTTCGGTGAATGTTTGGGCTGGCATGGTGAACGGTATGCTCACTGGACCATTTATTCTCCCAAATCGATTGGATGGGATGCAATACCTAGGCTTTTTACGCAACATTTTGCCTTCCTTGTTTGCCTGCGGCTGCTCGGTAGCGCATCAGCTGATTTCATTTTCTGTTGGAGCGGTATGATTTCGGGCAGAGACGTACTTAGCCCTTCTCGTCAACTGGAGAGTGAGTACTTTTTCCTTTATTTTTTTTTACTTGGTCGCCCTCGTTTCACTACACATTACCTTTGTTATTTCAAGGGTAGTTGTTTCTGAAAAAGAAAACCCCAACTTTGCGGACACCCTGTATAGTGATTTTCCTCCCCCAGCTTATTTTTTTTACGGTCAAATTAGCAAGCTGAAATTCGTGGTGGACACATGACTACTATATTTTAGCACAAAAGCAGCCGTTGAAAATTTCAAGATGGGGGTTGGATGCCCGTCACCCTAAAACTAAGATTGTCACCAATACGATATGGCTGCGGATATAGTGGACGCAAAATTCATCCGTGTGTACTCGTGGATGCGAACCAATAGACGCGTACCTTTAAGCTAACGGTTTTAATAAATGTAAGGTTGATTCAAGTGTTGAACTTCAAACTCCAAGTGATTAGATTAAAGAAGCCGTTTAGGGTATCCCAATATATGCGTCCGGACTTTGTTTTTGAATAAAAGAAAATACTCCTGTTATACAGGGTGTTTCCAAAGTTGAGTCATTTATTTTAACTGCTTATAGCACTCTTCAAAAGGAGTTGATATACCAATAATCACCTATACAGGGTGTTGCTTAATGATATGCGAATATTTAATTGTGTGCATCTACATGAAAAATTAATGTTAGTTTGCTTTATAAACTATGGTCTAAAAATGTTTCCTTACAAAAACTCGGGGTGTTAAAGTTTTAGGAAAAAAAATGGAAATTAATTAATATTTTCAGAACCGCTTCAAATATTTCACAGATATTTAGTACGTAGTAAAAGTTAATAAAGTTGCATATTTTTCAATGCAAAAATAATTTTTAGCTTTAACAGTGGCTTGCCTACGGGTATTGACTTCGATATTTTTTAAGAAAAAAATGCTACGTCAACGGTCCTTGCAAATTTTAAATTATTTGCGAATTCCCGCTTCAATTTGAAACAAATGATCTCTCGTGAATTGTCTTCCTTCGATTCGCCATTTTTCAGTGAAAAAGTAAAAACCGTTCTATTGTCTAACTTGCAAAATTATTATTAATTTAATTGGAAAAATTAAACACATTAGGGGTAATGAACAACAACAACTGACAACATAAAAATAACATTTAAACAAACGAAATGATTACAAACATTGTTGAAAATGGGCCCCTTCAGTTAGTATGCATGCTTCCGACCTCCGTCTCATGGAATTGCGCACTCGTTGAAATATCCCTGGAGTGTTTTTTATTCTATCACAAGATGCAACTATTCCTCTACAGTGTTAATGGGACTTGCGTACACTAGTGTCTCAAGCCTCACAAAAAGAAATCTAAACTGTTGAGGTCTGGGGACCTTAGTGGCCATTCTTGGGGCCCACCGCGGCCAGTCCAACTATTTGGATGAAAAGTTTGTAAATAATTACGAACCGGTTCACTGAAATGCGCTGGTGCACCATCATGCACCACATATTGTTTCTTATTACTAACGGAACATCATCAAGCAGCAAAGGCAACTGTTGTTGAAGAAAATTGAGGAAGAATGGGCCAATAAAGTGGTTGCCAATAATTCCTGCCCATACGTAAACCGAAAATTGGTGTTGGAAATGGGTTTCGGTTACGGCATAGGGATTTTCTTCTGCCCACAAATGTTTGTTGTGGAAATTCTGAATGGCATTTCGAGAAAAATTAGCTTCGTCCGTGAACAGACTCATTGATTCAAACTGCGGATTTTGTGTAACTTTTTGAAGTTACCACTGACAAAAGGTCACACGCCTTGGAAAATCAATGGGAAGTAATGCCTACTCTTAAAATATGGTAAGGATATAACAAAAAATCCACTAAAATTCTCCAAACAATTTGATGGTAAATATTTAAGTGTATAGCGATCTTCCTTGTACTGGTTTCAGGATGTTTTTCGACTTCGTGCAGCACTGCTTCCCCGATTTCAGAGGTTCATTAGAGGTCTACCTTCAGATGTTCCTTTTTGGGCAGAACCAGTTTCAACAAGACGACGATAAATATTAGAAAAGGTTCGACTATCTGGCAAAGCACGATCGGGATATCTCTGGTGATAAATCCGTCTGGCTTGCTCACACCATTACCGTCGGCAAGGCCATATACGTAATGCATTTCCGCCATTTCTGCATTTGAATAGTTCACCATTATTAACAAGATTGTAAAAACTAAATAATGAAAAAGATGTCACAGCGAACAGATTTGAATTGCAGAGACTTGTCAGATGTCAAAAGCCAGTGACATATTCGAGAGCAACTATATATTTATTGCTAAATTGCATTCTTCAATTATTACATTAATTTTTTCGGACAATAGAACGGTTTTTACATTTTTACTCAAAAATGGCGCATCGAAGGAAAACAATTCAAGAGAAATCATTTGTTTTAAATTGAACGGAGAATTCAAAAATGATTTTTATTTGGCAAAAAAGCATTGCCGTACTATTTTTTTTAAAAAAATATCGAAGTCAATACCCGTACGCATGCCACTGCTAAAGCTAAAAATTATTTTTGCATTGAAAAATATGCAACTTTTTTCACTACGTAGTAAAGATCAGTGAAATATCTGAAGCGGTTCTGAAAATGTTAATTAATTTCCATTTTTTTCCTAAAATGTCAACACCCCGAGTTTTTGTAAGGAAACATTTTTGGACCAAAGTTTATAAAGCAAACTAACATTAGTTTTTCATAAAGATTCACACCCGTAATTATTCGCATATCATTATGGAACACCCTGTATAAAAGTTTCATAATAAAAGAAAAAGTAAAAGATTGAAAATTTAAAAAAATAATAATGTTATTACACAGATTTTTCGATATTCTCGTCCATTGCCGCGTAAAATCTTACTGTTTATTTGGTAATTACTGTTATCTTATATCTAAATTTTGCAAACATTTTCTGTTAGTGTATGGTTTCCAGTAGAATCCTTTGGTTCGACTAGTTGTATACTTTGATTACTTTGTGCGCAAAAGTGATCGATGTTTATGAAAACAATGAACTAGTGGACATAATACTAACAAACGGAGAGTGCCAACAAAATGCAGCCGCAGCATGCGGGTAGTATGCGGAAAGATTTCCTTTAAGAAATCATGCGGCCCCACGGATGTTTGTAAATTGAGTTATTAGAAATCGTGACAAGGATATTTGAAAGGACAACGAGGAGGTCACGCTAGAAGACCTGCTCAAACCGGAATGTATCAAAGGCCACATTTACACCAAATGGGGTGCACAATTTCCACAACAATCATGTTTGGGCAGGAAAAAATCCGCATGACACTGACAGGAGAGTTTCATATCTGATTGTAATCCAAGCTGTGTATTTAATGAAATTTGAAATTTTGAATTGACCCATACGTTTTTTGTACTAGAAGTTATATAAAACCGTGTATATTGGGAAGCGCTTAAAACAATCAGCTATGGCGTTCTAATAATATTTGATTGTATTTTATAGGCTGGCCTGGAAATTGGAGAAATGATCTTAGCTGTGAACAAAGATTCACTGGTTGGATCAAACTACGAAAATGTAAGTGCTCATTCAGTATATCACAGCACATTCATTATAGTCTGGTACCAAACCGGAAGAGAGTAACACTGTTACCATCGCGCGTCTTTGAATACGCGCAACGACTTTGCCGACACAAGGGCACGTCGCGCAAGCAGAGGCGTACAATGTGTCGTGCTCTTCCGTTTTCGTACTCGAATAAGAAAATCAAATTTCAATAGATTTTTTGAACGATTTTAAGATGGTCAAAGCTCATTCCTATTATTTCCATTTTGAGTATTCCATGCGAAGCAATCATCCATTTCATATATTCTGATGTTAGTCATCATTTGATAGGCTTGTGATAAGGTACCTAAGGCACATTTCGATATAAAAGCACCAGTGGTGTAGGTATCAATGTCCGAAGTTGTTTTTTTTAACAATTTGCTGGTAGATGTCGCTTTAATTTCTAAATAGCGCACACATTTTACGCCAAGAAAGCTATAAAGCCATTTAAATTTCAAAATGGACACCAAACGGAAATGAGTCGATGGAGAAAACAATGATACAGAGATCAAAGATGATTCTGGATTTAGTTCCCTTGACAGTGTGAACGACAGGCAGTAACGCAGATGAGTAGAAAGATATGTGGCTTATGACTTTACTTCTGTTATAGATGTGGCTTTTGCTTTAGTTAAGTAGGAAAACTTTTTTTTGTATTGGTTCCACAATACCACTAGATAATGATTTCAAACCAGCTACTTATCAATTTATCAGAATATATCATTATCGTTATTGAGAACGACTATCGTAAACCGCAAATAACTTTAATACGTATCAGTAATACGTAATTTTGTGATGAATGGCTTATGTCCTGTATGGCTTGTGACCGTGAGTCTTCAGGAACATTCATAAATTTTTCGTTGTCACAAAATTTTTGTTGTTCAAAAGGTAAACCTACAGTAGCGAACAAAAGTTTGGAAACAAATATTAACATTATTATGAACTATTTCATATACCTAAATTAAAATTGTGAAGGAACAAAGAATATAAACATTAAAATCTACATTTGGCTTCCAGAATAATGCATGGTTTATCCCATCAATTTTAAAATTCTCTGAAAATAAAAACACGAGTTTTCTTAAATACCACAGTTTTTGTAACGACAAAAGTATGGATACATTTCAGTTTTGCGATACTATGATATTGCGTGCGGTAAATATTAGCATCAGTGGGAATGGCAAAAGTAAAAGAATTTTCAAAAGATTTAAGAGACAAAGTGATTGAATTATTGATGATGATGATGATCCTCGAATGCCAGCCACATAGATTTTCAAAAGAATCGTGGAAGAGGGTGCCGAGAATCTTTCTGTCAGAAAAGTTCAGAGACGCTTGGTGGATTTTGGGCTTTTTGTTCAAAAGCCTCTCATTAAAAAAATCGTATTGCTCGGCTTGAATTTGCAAAAACTCATCTAACTTGGACAGAACAACAATGGAATACAGTTTCATGGAGCGATGAAAACAAATTTAACTCGTTTTGATCTGACGGGACGGCATATATGAGACGTCCAATACGAAAAAGATTAGACAAAAAGTATCAGTTGCCAACAGTTAAGCACGGTGGAGGCAACATAATGGTTTGTGGCTGCTTTTCTAGTTCTGGAACGGGTCCAGTTGTTAAAATTATTGGGAAAATGGATCAAAAACTTTATAAAGATATTCTTAGTGAACATATGGCCTTCGCAATCCCCGGACCTAAACCCTATAGAACATTTCTGGGAGCATGTTAAAAGACAACTGACAAAAAAACTTTTAAAATAGGAACAAAATATTCCAATAGATGTCTGTAAAAAATTGGTGTCTTCTATGAGCAGCAGATTCAGGCATTGCTGAATGCTAAAGGCTATGCTATCAAATATTAGTTAAACAGTATTTTTTAAATTTTAGAGTTATTGTATATAATAAAAAATATGTTTCCATACTTTTGTCGTCTCACTTTTGGTCATAAAATAATATGAAGGTATTTTAATGCTAGTCTGTAGTACCACAGCAAATACAAATTCTCGTCTGTATCTTCAAGACTGTAAGCAAACTATATGAGAAAAAAAATAGTTCTTACTACTAATGAATAGAAAATTAGCGCACCTTTGAAACGTACTAAGAATGTTTCCAAACTTTTATCCGCTACTGTATGTAAACCAGGATTTATAAAAAATTTAGACTTCCCGAAATAATGTCAATGTGACTTAGGTATCTTACTGCCGCGAACCCTCCATAGATATAACCGTGAAACGTTTCTTTAGGCAGCGAATCTGCTGAAAAGAACCGAGGGCCTAGTGACTCTGGTGGTATCGAATCCAGGCAAAAAGTCCAGTGAAACACCGTCAGGCGAATCTGGTGCAACGCCTGCAACGTCTGTCAGATCTCATTCTCCTGGAGCGTTGAAACCCCCATCGACTGCTGGGTCGAAACCACCTTCGCGTCCTACTACACCCACACCAGGTGAGTTGACGCACACGGTTGAAAATAAGCTTCTAACTATAAGGAACTAACATCCTTACAAACTAAATGCACCGAGTACTAATATTTTCAAAACGCCGGTACCTAGTACAGATTCCAATACTGAGTCAATAACTGTCAGTAACATTGAGCTTATATTTGAGTTTTTTTTTAAAAGAGATTTATCCCAAGAATTGAACACATCATAAAAAAGAGCATCAAGTAGGTTGACCATCGATTAGTATAGTGGAAATAATCTTTGTGGATATTTCGTAACGCTTTATATTTTCAGAGCCTCCCGCAGATCCTGCGACGTGTCCAATAAATCCTGGCAAAGACACGACAATAGAAATTAACACAGACAACAAAAGTTTGGGAGTTTTCTTCATTGGAGGAAAAGACACACTTATTAATGTAAGTTGTTATTTGGAAATATCCGTATCAATTACAGTTCTTAGAGTTAGTCGTTCTTTGCATTGATTATCGTATTCTATCTGAAGATAGCCAACCTAATGCTATTCCTGCGTCCAAGAAATTATTCGAGATAAAATGAGATACCGTAGCGTCATCTATGAGAATATGTCACAGCTGTTTCTCTATTTACTGTATACAGGGTTATCCAAATTAAGTGTCCACCATTGGTAACTTTGTTATTAGTAAAAATACAAAGTTGTTTAAATTAGCAAACTAGTAGCATTTTTAACGCTGGTAAAAATGAGAAATAAAAAAAAACAATTGAGAGTCGTTATTTTGATTTTTTTCAGTAAAATAACATTTTTTTAAATGGAAACCCCTGTATATTATATTTTTTTCTGTTAAAGCATCAAATTTTAAACAAAAAAGTTCATAATGACTTTTCCGCTAAAGTCAAAAGTAAAGTCAAAATAACGATAAATATTTTTAATTATTTGCAGTATTATAATATTAAGACGGCTATGAAAACAACATGGCGTTCGCGATTTGACAGCATCAAGATAAGCGACAAATTGTTAAACTGGACATACTCGCAACTAGAAGGCTTTGGAAAACAATGATAAAATCAAATAATGTCAAACATTAGTGTAAATACTTGTTTATAAGCTTTATTGTGTCATTAATTTAAAGAAAAATGTTCTCCCATGAAGAAAAGTGTGATATGTTAGAATGCTATTTAGTGTGCAGAAAATCCTCCTTGAGAGCAAGAGAATACTACAGTGAATTATATCCCGCTCGCATTCAACCGTATGAACGATATTTTCTGAGACTTTATCGAAAATTTAGGGGCAACGAAAATGTTTTTGCTAAAACAAGGGCAAAAAAAGAATTCATAATAAGCGAGGCCACGGAAATTGCAGTTATTGGATATTTTGAAGCTTATCGTGAGAATTCAATAGCAGATATTCTCAAGGACTCTAATTTCAGTTATGGTACTGTTCAAAGGATTTTAAAAAAATACAAATTTATTCCGTATAAGTACCGACCAGTTCAAACGCTTTTGGCAGGGGATCCAGAGAGAAGACTTGTTTTTTGCCATTGGTATCTTAGCTTCTGTCGCCAAAATGTAAATAACTTTCGTTACCTTTTATGGACAGATGAATCAAATTTTTCAAATTCTGGAATGTTTAATAGAAATTATTGGTCAAGAGAAAATCTTTTGTTAGTACATCCAAGAGGCCCACAAGTCCGTTTCAGTTTCAACGTTTGGTGCGGTATAATTGGTTCAAAAATTGTTGGCCCGTTCTTTTATGAGAGAACCCTAACTGGTGAAAGATATGTGGAATTTATGTCAGAAATTCTGACTAATTTCTTAGACGAATTGGATCTTATAAGTAGACATCATCTGCATTTTCAGCAAGATGGCGCACCTGCCCACAACTCCAGAGGTACTTATCATTTTCTAAGTACTACTTTTAATGATCAGTGGATAGGAACAAATGGCCCAATACAGTGGCCTCCCAGATCACCAGATCTAAACCCACTTGATTACTTCTTGTGGGGTTACTTAAAGAACCAAATTTACAAGCGAAGGTACGATAACCTTGACGCGTTAAAGACTGCAGTTAGGGAAAAGATAACCCAGATAGATGGTAGGACCATACTTAAGACAGTTCGAGCAGTTGAAAAACGTGCCCAAAAATGTATTGAAGAACAAGGTGGTGTTTTCGAGCATCTTCTTTAAAAAAAATTGTTATTGTATTTTGTAAGATTATAAGTTGATGTTGAAAATAAAGTTTGTCGATACAATTTAATTGTTTCAGATTGGAGGCCATAACTTAAACAATTTGTAACCTAGGAGAAAAGTTATTGTAAGCTTTTTTGTTTAAAATTTGATGCTTTAACAGAAAAAAATATAATATACAGGGGTATCCATTTAAAAAAATGTTATTTTACTGAAAAAAATCAAAATAACGACTCTCAATTGTTTTTTTTTATTTCTCATTTTTACCAGCGTTAAAAATGCTACTAGTTTGCTAATTTAAACAACTTTGTATTTTTACTAATAACAAAGTTACCAATGGTGGACACTTAATTTGGATAACCCTGTATACTTTGAAAATGTTAGTGACTCATAGATGGAGCTGTTTATATGAGCATATCCATGTATATAGGTGGATACAACGTCATCTATGATACAAATTGTCATAGATGTAGCTAGGTATCTCATTTTTCTCTAGCAATACGTTGGTCATCTTCAGGTAGAATACGTTGATCAATGTTCATAGGTATCACCTTGTTGCTAATCGTATAGAAAATTTTTATTAGAACCAATGTTAGACACATGTCACATGATCACCATTTACTGTGGTCTTACCATCAGTATTTATCTGATCATTCCATCAGTGTAAGTGGATTTCAACATAACTTTATAAATTAATAATAACTAACGTCTCGGCTAGACGGTTAATAGATCGGAGTGATAACTGATCATGTGATATTCGCCTGTCACTAAGTTGTAGTGCATTTAACGTATCTCGGTTGCCGAATGCCGCTTTTGTTATAAAACTGCCCAAACGAAATTCTTTCAATATTTCAGAGTATAGTGCTGGTCGAAATTTACCCTGGAGGTACTGCAGATAAAGACGGAAGGTTACAACCTGGAGACCAAATCTTAGATGTAAATGGTACATCCCTGAAGGATGTGTCACATACTACTGCTTCACAGGCATTGAGGCAAACGTTACCCAAGGTGAGTCTATTCAAATGATTCATGCTCAGGATTTTGATGTTTTTTGTTTCAGTAGACTTCAAAAATAATTGCATGATGGGCTGACAAGACAATATTTTGAATGCCTTAGATGAGAAAATGACTCTACCGTTAATATCCATAGTCTATTTAAAAGGTTTTTACAGCATTAATAATAAATTAAATTACTTGCTAAATTAAATTACGTAGGACTTGACAATTTATCCCTTTCATTTTTCGACAGTTACCTTCATCAAAGAACTGCCAACCAATAAATGTCTCCAGTGACAGCAAATTCCCTCTGGCGTGCCTCAGGACTCTGTATTGGGGCCGCTGCTATTTTTATATATCTACTTTCGACTTAAGCAAAAGTATTGATAATTCTCATGTCCAGTCTTTTGCAGATGATACGCGGTTGCATGTCAATAATACTATGCCAATTTTACCTTTTTTGGCTATACTGCAATGTAATTGCGGATAAATAAAGACGTCTATTAGTATTTAATTTGAAGAGGCTTCAGACATATTCTGTGAAAATTTGTCAAACCATTTTGACTGGACTATAAGATCTGATTATTAATTTATTTTGATTGCAGATGAAGCTCATAGTACACAGGCCGGCCACGCAGGAGTACACACCTTTAGACGTTGAACTTGTGAAAAAACCTGGGAAGGGATTAGGCATCAGTGTCGTGGCAAGGAAAAATGGCAAGGGTGTTTACGTCGCAGATATTGTAAGTATGATTTACAACTATCAGTGCCGACGCGTGACTTTTCCTACACTGTTACCAAAACCAGATGTGAAAAATCTTATTAAAAAAAAGTTTATTCTGAACCTCCCAAATATAAGTTTTTACTTGTTTTAGGTATTTTATTTAAACTATTTTTAAATTAAAGTAAACATTCCTGGACTGAGCGTCTGGAGCACTTGATATACCTCATCGTCTTACGCTATGACTAATCCAAGAAGTCCGAAAAAACAGTCAACGTTTCTAGATGTTCGGAAAATTTTTGATCTTTTTTGGCAATGAATGTTAACAATTCCCTGTAATTTCCTTTATTGTCAGAGTCATTGACTTCAAAATGAACGGTAATTCCTGTTTTGCCAAAAAACACACGTTATCTAGAAGTGTGCTGCCTAAAAGCTTGGTTAAGACAACTTTCGATTATATTTTTGCTAAACTGAATTAAATTGGCTACACATCTCACATGTAACGGAGAAATTTCATGTCTCCTCTTTAGAGCCCTAAAACTATTTAAATCGTTGACTCCACTGCTGGTCCACCCATTTTTTTCTGTATAAAACAGAAGACATCGCCAACAATACAATATGTTTCTTTGCAACCACATAACCAAGAGTTTCCATATGCCAACTTAATTTAAAATATCAAACTACGTTTTCTATTTCTTTTTAAAATTATCTAAAATACGTGTTGGTCTTCCATTTTCAATGATCTCCTTTTTTTCTTAAAAATTATGCAAGGAGAATGACTTTTCAAGTAGTTGATCGATTACGCAGCGACATTTTTATCCATATTTAATTGCACGCACTCTACAACCAGTAACCAAAACGACTACTAACGAGTGAGAAGTGGGTAACCAAATCAAAAAATGGTAACAAGCCCACATAATAGTCGCAGTGCCCCCACGCACTCGAGCGACCGCGATAAGACACGAGCCGGTACCGACGGTCCCCGATGGACTACCAAGTGTATCCATAAATGAAAATGGTAACAACCGACAACCAAGTCGAGGCGAGTCAGCTTCATCGTGTTCGCAAAACCTAGACACTATAGGGCGCATTATTTTCGTGGGGCTAATTTGCTATTACTATTACATATCGCTGTTGGTAAACAAATAAATGAAATTATTTCACAATACTTAGTCATAAAATATTTATTTTTAGGATGTTTAACTGTTACCAATGGTAACAATGGTTACATGGACGCTTTGCCCCTGACAACCATGCCTTTCAAAAAGGTCTTCCCCTACTCATTTTTTGAACGAGTCAAAACTTGACGTGTTTAGGGTATGTTCCTGCTAGTCCACTCGGTTTTCTGTTTATTACAAGTAAGCCCCTGCCGATCATAGCATTCAAATATTTCTTTTATTGCCCACTTTACTGTCATGATGGCTGTGTTTTGCTGTTTGCATGCATTGTCATTTCTGACCTTGGGTTTTTGCTGATATTGTAGTCTGGCCCGTGGGCACTGTATTTTAATAATGTCAGTAATAAAAACACTTTACTAAAGGATTAAGCACATAAAGCTTATTAAACCACCATAAGTGAATAAACATGTTGACCGGCATGGGTATCATGTAGAAAACCTATAAAACGTCAAAAAAACCTATAAAATGTCATCTTGCAAATTAGGTATTTTTTAGGGCACAAACAGTCATTCCACGTCTGCTCACTAGGATCGTTGTGAACGTCTATCTAAGGAGGAATCACTCAACTAAACTACACGCATTATTGGTTGCATATGTTTTGTGAGGCCAAATTTTCCTTGTCTGTAGTTTTTATCTCTGAGAAGAAAGTTGGTTGAATAGTAAGATCGCATCTAGATAATTATGCGTATTGGTCTGCATGTGCTTTCTGAAGAGAGGTCATGTTCAAACTTATAAATTACGAAAAACTGAGGAGAATTAAGGGAAATCATCACTGCGCCCGCGTTGTGTGTAATTACTGTTAGCATGTATATGGCTTGTAATTCGACAGTGTACAGTGAATATAATTATTTCTTATCTCTCTCATTTTTGTAATTCAGCAAATGTATATATGTAATTTCCAGAACGTATAAGAAAAAGTGAATGCGCAACTAATTTCTAGCTTTGAATCTCAATTGAGTGTATTTGAGATAAGAACCCAATGTAATTATCATCAACACATACAACTTACAGCTTAGACCCCCAGTAATGCCATCTCAGAAGCAGATTTTGCATCACATCAGAGCCAAAGATTGATAACAAGCATCATAACGTTTAGGCAACACGTACAACTAAGTGCTAAGTTAATATCTTGTAGAAAAACATACATAATGTCAAAAAAAACAGCATAATGTCAAAAAAATCCGCATAATGTCACTTTTGAAGATACGTGATACCCGTGCGGCACGGAGGTAACGGCAATGCATAGGTGCATAGTGAGGATATGTGTGCTAATAATATGTGTTGATAATTCCATTGGATTCTTGTCTCAAATACACTTACTTGAGATTCAAAGCTAGAAATTAGTTGCGCATCTAGTTTTTTCTTATCTATTCTTTAAATTGCATGTGCAATTTGCTGAATTTCAAAAATGAGAGAGAGATAAGAAATAATTATATTCACTGTACATTGTCGAGTTACAAGTCATAGACATGCTAACAGTAATCACATGCACACAACGCGGGCACGGTGATTTCCCGTAATCCTCCTCAAAGTTTTTGAAAACAAAAAACGTAAAAAATCGTAATTTATAACTTTGAACATAACCTGGTTTCAGAAAGGAAAACATATAAATAATCCGTCGGCCACAGTTAATAGATGTATTTCATTGGCAGTATATTCAGTAATAATTTTCTCACACAGCAAATATCACTGATTTTATAGACATGCAGACCAATACAAACAATCATCCAGATACGATATTGCTATTCAACCAACTTCCTTCTCAGAGATGAAAACTATAGACTACTAGACTTCACAAAACATATGCAACCAACAATGCGTATAGACGTGTCGTTGAGTCATTCCTCCATAGATGGACGCTCACAACGATCCTATTGAGCAAACGTGGAATGACTGTTTGAACCCTAAAAACTACATTTTATAGGTTATTTTGACGTTTTATAGGTTTTTTTACATAATAGCTGTACGGAACTCGATTCCCTCGCTTCCTAACCTGTCAACTGTCAACGATCAAACGTCAGTGATCATGTCATCCGGTAAACGTAAGCGCGCGAATTTCAAATCTGAAATTTTTATTACTACAATACACTTTTTTGTTACAGATATCTGGCGGACCAGCCGACATGGACGGCAAAATAGCGAAAGGTGATCTAATAGTCTCGGTGAACGGACAAAGCGTCGAGAACGCGGCGGGCGAAGAGGCGGGAGCAATTTTGAAAATCGCCACCGGGAAAGTTAGCTTAAAATTAAATAGATACAAACCTGTACAAAGATAAAAGTAGGCGGTGTCAGTTTAGCGGGAACAGAATTAAGTTAACCGAACCGGACAGTATGGTTGAGAAGTTGTTTTGTGAGGGGTATAAAGGTCTAAAAGTGGAGAACGAGTAAAATCCCAGAGAATTTAGTGAATTCAAATGCAAAAATACCATTATGGAGAATACTTGAAAAAAATCATGAATGAGCACTGCGATTGTTTTATCTAACTCACTGTTTTCTCCACAAGGGCATCGTATTTTTTATCCCTCACAAAAAATAATTACGAATGTTACAACATTATTGCCATGCATTTAATTTTTAGTTTCTAAATATGAAACTTCAGTTTTCATGAACTTAAATGGTTGCATTTAATAGTTTTTCCTTTTCCAAATATGTACAATACAGGGTGGATCAGATTTTATTAAGAGTAGCATGATAATTATTTTCCTTGCAATTATTCTAAAAAAAAAAAAAGAAATGAACAATATGATGGGGCCAAACGATGGAAGTAGAGCATAAGTATAAAAGTGATTGTGCCAAAAGTTTTAATTCAAGACATTATTTCATGTAACACCTGGAACCTATCCTGTGGTTTTTATGTTCATAGGACTACATTGTCTGTCATATGTTTTAATTTCTGTTTATTGTATGACGTCTCGGCCACTACGGTGGCCTTTTTCAAACTCAATGACGATGACAGTTTTTTATCTGTCGTTTAGGTGTCAGTCCATTTATTTTTTATTTTCTTCATTCCTATACAGTGTCTTGCTTCAATAGACTGAACGGTTGTGTTGTATGCCGATATCGCGTGAAGCCATATTTATAATTTTAAGATTGCCGCGTAAAATTAGAATAGCCTAGGATCGCATAGGCACCTGTATTACGTAACTCAAAAAGCAACATTATATAGATTTTTTATGACATTATCTAGGTTTTTTGAACTAGCTGACATTCAATTCATGTTCACTTTTAGTAGACGCGGCATAAACTAGTGGCTAGCTAGTGCACACGTTGACATTGTACCGATTTTTTGACATATGGGTTTTTAACGTAACAACCCTGTCGTTCTTAAAACACAACCCCATATATGCGGTTTGATTGGACCAGACAATGAAGTCCTGTGATCAAGACATTATTTTAAGCTGCATCTCACACACTTAACTTAAAGAAATTACAGCTCAGATGATAACTGTTTCTGTCAAACGTAAATTTCGTTCGGCAACAGAGTACTAATAATTCGCGTTGCTTTGTGCGTAAATGTCGCTGTGTGCTCGTGTACACCGTGTGGTATGGGTGATTCAGAAAATGGCGGCAACATCTCTAGGGCATAAAGAAGATAAAAAAAACCCGAAAAGTTTATATAAAAATGGGTCCCAAAATATTGACTCAAAATTGTGTACATGTTAACAGCATAGTCAATACATACAATGTTCGTGTCTGAGCTTACACCAGTTTCTTAAAAATTAAGAAATTTTGAAGAGAAGAAAAAATAAAATTATTTTCTGTGACACTGACTTTTTTGAAACATATATTGCATCTTTAAATAAGGTATTTAATTGGTTGAATGTTTGAGGTAAAATTCGTATAAAAAACTCCATCCCGTTCCACTTTAAAAATATGCTGTTGGTTATTAAAGTTTTACACTGAAAATTGAATTTAGTGTTTTAGGAGAGTAGTCCTACCTGGAGGTTATTTGAACAATGTTCACTTTGATCTGGTTGAGTCTCATCAGTGACAAAAAAATTTACTAAGCTGCGTGTCTTGGTGATAGGAGGTTTTAGGACCTACACTTACAGTTACTTTTTTTGCTATTTTTGGATGTACTTATATTATATTGCCACGTTTTTTTGAATAAGCGTTTGGCTAGCCAATATGTACTACGAATTTATCGTTTGACGTCATCGACAGCTGTCATCTGAGCTTCAATTTTTTTACGTTATAAGGAAGGCTGGAAGGTGTTAGCCTTAGGCGAATGTCATCTATTCTTTATTTACTGTCGTCCGCACCATCAGTATTTTTACTGATCATTCAGTCACTTTCAGTGGATTTCCACGCAACCTTATATCCTGGCAACATGGTGATAGATCACAGTAAATACTCGTATGACATTCGTCTAATAATCCTATTCCTATCAAAAGAATCTCAAAAAATTATGACAAATACATGTTATGAATGTTAACTGACACCCTGTATGATTATAAGTACTTTAGATTATATATTATATTTTTTGGATCTAGTCAATTTATGTATATTGATAAATACACTTAGTAACATTTTTAACATACATCTACCATACACGCATCTAAAACTATGTATTTCTTTAATTTATTATTATGATGATATTGCTATTGCATGTTATGTACGAAGTGTTCTAGAACGGGCACAACTAGGCCAATTTTTTAATTTATAACACACAGTTTCTAATTGAAGATGCACGAATTTTATTGCTGATTTCTGAAATATATACTTTTTTTAAATTTTCCTCATTCCGTGGACCTGTTGGCGATAGTTTCCAGAGCCGTGGGAGTAATCTTCAGCCATTTTACCATATATTCCATTTTGTCATTTGGACATTTCGTCAATTGTGTCAAATCAAATTAAGAAACTAGTCTACAGAGTGTATAGGGTAATCGGGAAATAGCCGCTGGAATAAGGGAACATGAGTAGGACTGTGCGAAAGAAGAATAAAAACATGAAAGATCCTGAAGATGGGGATAATGTAGAAAAATACAGTGATAACAACGAAGAACTGTCGGACGGAAAAGAACGATGGTCTTGCCCAGCCTGTTGTAAACAGGGACGAGTTACCCGAAGCGGATCCACATGCGGTGCTCGTTCAGAAACCACTGCTCCTTTACAACCAGATCAGTCTACCCCTACCGACACTCTCACCCTTATACTTAACCAATTATCAACTATGGCCAGTGACATAAAGGATATTAAGAACTCTCAATCTCAACTCAGAACTGATGTTGCTTATTGTAGAAACTTGCTACAGCAACATTCGGACTCGATCTCTCGGCATGATGACTTAATAGCGGCCTGCGAAACCAACATACAAAATATCCAGGTTACTCAAACAGAGCTGTCTTCTAACATTGCTAATATTGAATCGAGACTTGCAAGATCTATGGAGATGATGCACTCAGGCAACGGCGCTTCTTCTACCCCTATTGCCCCAAGATCCCAAGCTGAGACAATGGAGTTATTTAGACGTTCCCACAATATCATTCTGAGGGGCATAGCTGAAGGTAACGATGACATAAACATAGTATCAGAGATAATTAGGCATATTGAACCATCTGCCGAAAATCACCGACTCAGCATCACTCGCCTTGGCAGAACAACTTCAAGCAATCGTTTAATTAGAGTTGTGTTTTCCTCACCTATTATCGTCAGCAATATTTTGCGGAAGAAAAACTCCATCCTTAGCCACCCTACGCTTCGTCACGTAAAAATCTCTGACGACAAAACCAGAGATCAAATGCAAGAACTACAACACCTTCGCGAAGAGCTTAGACGTCGTCAAACAACAGGCGAAAGTAATATTACTATAAAATACGTTCGTGGTAAACCTTCTATAGTGCACACAGCTACCCAGGAGATCACACCTTCAAAAAACTGATAAATTCTGTGGCAAACTGGACGGTTTGTTACACTAATATACAATCTCTCTTTTCTAAGCTACTTGAACTCCAAGCATTTGTTCGAGACAATAATCCAACGTTCGTTTGTCTTACTGAAACATGGCTCCATTCCAACGTGTCCGACTCTTCCATCAATTTGCCTGGATACTATTTATACAGAATGGATTCACCACGCACTCCTGGTTTTGGTGGAGTATGCATTTATGTTCGCACGGAAATCGCGTCAGCTTTCTCGGTATCTCCCTCTTTCAGTCCTTTCGATGGCATTGACAATCTATTTTTGGAATTGAGGTGCCCAAATTTCAGCTTCACGATAGGCTGCATATATCGGCCACGGCCCTGTTTGGGAGACACACACCTGTGCAGTCTCATTTCAGATCTCTTAAATAAAAACACCAACCTTTTCATAGCTGGTGACTTCAATCTACGTGACATTAGCTGGCCTATGTCAACCATTCCTGAATGCAATTCTTCTTCTGCTGCTTACATCGACTTGCTACGCAACTCTAGCATATCTCAACTTGTTGATCGTCCAACGAGATTCAGGGAAGGACAGACGCCTAGGGCTCTGGATTTGATATTCGTTAACGACGCAGACTTTGTTTCTAATTTAGATTATTTGCCACCTTTTGGCAAGTCTGACCATTGTTCACTTTTATCTTCTCTCCAGTTCAATATAAATAGTCGTTCTACAACCGATAAGTTTAAAACCATCAAAATTGTAAACCACGATGCTCTTAACCAAGCCCTGTCTGAAGTCAACTGGCCTGCTTTGCTTAACAACCGTAGCACACAAGATATGTGGGACACTTTCGCTCAACGAGTCCTAAGCGAAACGGCTGACAATACTGTTGAAAAGAAGGTATACTGTGACCCCTCAAAGCCCTGGATCAACTCTAACATATCGAGGATGCTTCGTCACAAGAGATCTTTGTGGCAACGGTTTAGGAGGAGTGGCCATTCACAAGATTACGTGTCTCATCGATCCTTTTCTAACCTCCTATCTAGAACGTTACATAATGCCAAACATGCTTATGAACGAAAACTCGTTACCTCCAAAAATAAGAAGAAGCTGTTTCGGTATCTAAGAACAAACCTGAATTCCAAAGTTTCATCACCTCAGATCCGCGACGCTGACGGTCATCTCCACATGGATGCCACCGAATCTGCCAACTTACTGGCAGAGTCCTTTAGTGATGACTTCGTCGATGAGCCTAATGGAGACCTTCTACCGACCACTATCTGCCATAGGTGTCCCAACAGCCTTTGCGAAGTTGAGTTCCTGCCTGAAGATGTATTAATGCACCTGCGAAATCTGAAGACCTCTTCCTCCCCTGGTAAAGATGGGATGACGGCTGCTGTACTTAAAAACTGCGCTTCAGCACTGGCCCTACCATTAAGCTTGATATTCACATCGTCTTTTAGATCTCATACCCTACCCTCATGCTGGCTTAGTGCTTCTGTTACTCCTGTATTCAAAAAGGGCGACAAATCCTCCGCTAAAAATTATCGACCAATAAGTCTCGTTCCTATCGCCGCCAAAATAGCTGAAAGAATCATATTAGATAAGCTCCAGTCATTTGCTTTCGAAAATGACCTTATCCCTAAGAATCAGCATGGATTTCTCCCTGGTCGATCAATAATGACCAACCTTCTCCACTCTCTCAACGATTGGACTCAGTATCTGGACACCAAGACTCCTGTTGATATAATCTACTTAGATTTTTCTAGGGCTTTCGATCGCGTACCACATAGAAGGCTTCTGTTTAAGTTGGAATGTATGGGAATAAGAGGCGAGTTGTTACTGTGGATTAAGGCTTTTCTCACCGGGAGGACTTTCTCTGTGCGCGTCAGTGATAGCCAGTCTCACCCTCATCATGTAGCAAGTGGAGTTCCTCAAGGCTCTGTCTTGGGGCCAGTGCTGTTCCTTCTGTATACCAGTGACCTGCCCGCATTGATTTCCTCCACATGTTCAGCTTATGCCGACGACACCAAGATTTACAATACTGTCGTAAATTCTGCTATGCTTCAACGAGATCTTGATACTGTTTGTCAATGGTCAGTCAGTTGGCTTTTACCCTTAAATCTAACCAAGTGTTGTGTCCTTCACCTCGGGAAGACAAATCCGCGATTTACATACAAGATCTCTGACCACAACATCGAAGCAGTTTCGAGCCACACTGATCTGGGCGTTGTAGTCAACGATCGTCTTTCCTGGTCAGAGCATATTCACCACGTTACATCAAAAGCCAAGAAACTTCTATATATGCTGGAGAGGTCTTTCAAAGGATCCGATGTCAAAACTTGCGCCTACATTTACAAGGCATTCGTGAGGCCAATTCTTGAATTCGCTGGCCCGGTATGGGACACTGTGCTTCTGCGCGATAGAAATCTCGTCGAATCAGTACAGCGTCGGGCTACTCGTATCCCTTTTGGAGCACGAAGACCAAGCTATGAAGATCGCCTTGAATTATTCAACCTGACCTCATTCTCTGAGCGAAGACTTCGTGGCGATCTTATAGTTACGTTCAGGATACTTCATGGTTTGATGGGCACCAACCTCATGCATCTATACCATCTGTCGCGCAGCAATCTACGCGGACACAGCTTCAAACTGCATAAGGAGCCATTTAAAACAACAGTCCGACAGTGGTTTCTTCCCAACCGCATACTCAACACCTGGAATAGCTTACCTGAAAGTGTGGTTGGTGCTACTTCAGTTAATAGCTTCAAAGTGCAGTATGATAGCTGGAGGAGTGTACAAACTTTATAGCTGTGAACTGTATTTTTTTTATTTTTTTCTATTTGATGTATTTGTGTTACGTGTCCGTACACTATATTTACTGCATGAGCTTATAGTACTGTGTACTCTGCTCATCTCAATTATCATAATAATAATAATAATAATAATAAAAATAACTAAAACAACTGGTAAACTTACTAAACGTTCTAGAATCACTATGTATACCAAATGGTCTGTCTATCACTGAAAATGCATGAACTATAAAAATTCGCATCTGAAAGGCTACTCTGGAATAGTGACATTGGTGCCCACAGGGCGAAGCCAGGACTCCTCCCCTGAAAATCTTATTAGCACTTAAAGTTTATTATATTCAGCATGGTTTTGTGTACAATATTGGCGATTATCAGAATTTCATCCTCCCTGATAAAATTTGTTATCTCCGCTCTTTTAAAAGTTTTTGCCCCCCCCCCCGCCCGCCCCCGGAAAAAAATAAGCTTGGAAAATAAATTTAAAAGTGTCGTCTTACTTTTTAACATCTTCACTTTGTGCTCGATATTGACATTTTTTGAGTAACACTGTATAAAGCGGGCAGTTCTTTATATGTGTTGTGTGTTTTCAGTGTGTGACTTGACCAATAGTGACATTGGAAACTGCATATACTATACACCTTAGGCAAAAAAGTCCCTTTTTGCTAGTAAAATTGTGATACAAATATTGTCCTTAAAAATTAACTAGAGTATGAATATAGTATAATTCATCTTAGAAGGCTTGTCAGTAACAATATACAGAGGTAAGCTCAAATAACAGAACATGTGTAATCAGAACCGCTAAAAGCAATTTAAATTTAAATTATAATTAAACAATATTTAAAAAACCTGATTAACATCAGTGTCGCTAGCAGCATTTAAAATAAAACAGATACAAAAACAAGTAAATTTGATTATTGGTACAGAGTGTTTCATTGAGAGAGGTAGATATATATTTCAACTGTGGGTAAAATCCGTTGATATGATTATAGAAAATCTATAGTTAATGGGCCTTTAGACTGTTATAACCGACACACTTTTATCGATTTTGATCATTTATTTATGGTCTCACTTTTTACCACTCGATACATTTTTCTGAAACTTGGTTCGGGCACTCAGTTTATGTTATTGAATCCATCATTCGAATAGGAAAAGAAATCAGGTTCGGATTAGTTCAAATTTGACAAAACCGTGTTACCCAAAGGCAACACCCTGCATTCCAATAATGTACTCTTGTTATTTGAGCAGACGATCGAGCTAGACATATTGCTTTTATTGATTTTGAACTACAAACCTGGATACTTGATGGTCTATTAATTTTATTTAAAACTATGTGCGTCACCTTAGTGAAAGATTTAGAAGAAGGACATCTTATCGATCTCATACTTCATCTCTCGATACGATATATACTCGTATACTTTCAGGTTAATATTACGAAATAAAGATATTGACACATTGAAGAAATTTTTATTGAGGAACTCTCCAATTTACACGTAGACGATTATCATGCAGCCTGATCATCACTCGTAGTGTAAATGGCAACATTGTCTCGGTGGTACCTATCCATATGTGTATGATTTAATGAAGCTAGGATAGGCTGGAAATGCATACCAAGTCAAATAAAAGAATACCAAGGATGTTGTATCGATTTTGGCCATTTCTTTGGGGCGTCCCTACTTTACAACTAACCTGTACATCTTAGCTGGCAATTACATTGTGATATTAATGCGAAAAGAAATACATGTGGAAGTATACAAACTTATTTTATCGAAAAATAACCAGCCATTCCCTGCGTGTCATTAAATTCACACCACTTGTATGGCTACCACCGAGGCAATATTGCCATTTGCACTGCGGTTGATGATTCGGTTGTGTATTAATCGTGTATATGCAAATTTAAAAGGCTTACTCAATGCAAATATCCTCAATAGATTCACAATTTTTCAGCATTGAATCGGGATTTGCGATGCATTTTCTGGTTGTATGCACCCATGGGCACGCACATACATAAACTTCTAGAGGAATATACATCTTGTGTTTTGTACATAAATGTAATGAAATTCGACCTCTGCAACCGCCAACCGTTAGTTCTTAATCCGGATCTGGAATTATGTTTTTATTGATCCAGATAGACTAGCTAATCAATAAAATGACTTCTAAATCTGACACATATAGTGTTAAATAGTTAATAGACCATAAGATGAACATCCTTGTACTCCAAAATGAACAAAATCAGTATCTCCAGTTCATACAAAATCGTCTGCTCAAATGACAAAACTGGGTTGTTGGAACGAGTTTTTGTGCTTTCCAAATATGTGAGCCAAATTTTTACTAGTCAAATTCTGTATCCCTTTTCCAGTCCGTATTTTAGTTGATTTCATAGCTTAAGCTGAGTATGAATACCACGTTTTATAAGAATATAACGGGTTAAAAAGTAAACTATTTGCCGGTTATACTGCCTCTTTATGGTAAAGACAGCCTATGCACTTGACGTTATTTCAACTTTCTCTGTATATGGCGATGATAATTTTTTCCGTTTCCAGTTTTGGTGTCCTAAACACATTATTATATGCCATTGATTATGAAATAGGGTAACATAGCTCGCTGTTAATATACTAAGTGACAGAAAATATAACACCGGATGTTCATATTATCAATAAACCCTACTGATGTACTACGGGATTGGGCAG